TGAATATGGCCCAGCATGGATACGAGAACGACAAGGAGTGTGCTCGCGAAGCTCGTGAACAGTTTCTTCGTTCCGTGCCTGGACAGTTCTAGCGAGAAGTACGCACTATCGAACGCCATAGCCGAATAGAACGAGGATATTCATACAAACTTCCTTGGAAATCGTTGATGGGACTGGCGCGGGACATGGACGAGACCATGGGAGAGGCTGTTCGAGCTAGTATCGAGGATTCCAGCGCGGTGGGAGTCAGATTCGCAGCCTGCCATGTTGAGGATGATGACCGTGACACTCTCTCTCAGGGGAATAGGCCCGAGGTCACCTCAAGCAACCGCGGGTTTGCTCAAAACCGGCGTTCTCCGCGACGGGTACAGCGACGCAGAGTCCCCAACGATGATTTTTGCATGTGGTGCGGGAAGTATGGACACCTTGAAGAAGTGTAGAGCCAGACAGTCATGCTACAACTGCAACGAAGTGGGACATTTTGTGGCTCGATGTCCGAAGAAGAATCGAACTTTACGTTGTCCTCTGTGCCAGGGCACGCACTTGTGGAAAGAGTGCTCTCAGAGACGGTTAAACTAGGATGCCTTGAACGATCGGAGTGCACTTCAGGGCTTCAAGCATCAACAACTCCACCTCAACGGACTTTGGTATTTCGACGATCCTCGCGGAGACATCGGCAGTGGGCAGGAAACCAGTTTTCAAGTTCTCGCTCGTCGCTCACGGCGGCACCTGATGAGCAGGAGACGATGTTGGCTGAAAATCTTCGCTCTCAATCTTCGGATTGCTTGCTGGTGATCATGCTGCTGAGGCTATGGTTGATAACCCAACTTCAGGTGACGACGCAGACAATACTCCTAGAACAGGCTATTGCAATACGCCAGGTAAACTCGTGAATCTCAATCTCGAGCTAGACTCCTTGCTTAACATCAATATTTTGATTAACGATGTTCCTGTTGTAGCCCTTCTTGACACAGGAGCGAACAAAACCATTATCGATAGTAAATTGGTAGTGCAACTAGGATTGAAAACTCGTGATACATCAATGAATATACGTGCTGTTGGAGAAGATTTGTCTATTGCTTCAGCAGTTGATCTGCAATTTTGTATTGCACAGACCTCATTTAGAGTAGAAGATGCCCTGGTTCTTCCAAATGATAAATCCATGAATACTCAAGTTGTGTTGGGTATCGATTTTTTCAAACAAAACAAGGTAGAATTGTTTGTTAATGAACGTATATTGCGTAAACACTTGCTTGACGGGAAAATTGATTTTTCTATTGATGAGGCTGGTCCCAGGAATGTAAATTTTTCTGATGTAACATGCCGAGTAGAGACCGATACCTATCTCATTGACAGCTGTGCAGTAAAGGTTGTATGGTCTAAATCTGTGCCTGAGATTCCTGATGGTTGTAAAGTTCTATTTGAGAGCAAACGAGCTGACTCTAATCTGATAGACAAAGTGCACAGTTTAGATGGGTTAATTTGTCCTACTGCGCGATCGGTGTTGCTAACCTCGGTAGACCGTCCAGTGATGTTGAGGAAAGGCACGGTTTTGGGTTCGATTTCAACAGTCAGTCTAGAGGACGAGGCGCCAGGATTGAGTCATGAGGAGTGGGATGAACGGAAAATTAGGAATGAGATTGCTTTGAACCATCTGTCTACAGTAGAAGCAGATTCGGTCCATTCAATGTTGGGAAGTGTTGCTAAAGTGTTCAGTACGAATGAATATGACATAGGCCGGACTCAATCCACTGAGTATAAAATTGAGCTGTTAGACGATACGCCGATTTATGAACGTCCGCGCCGTTTTCCGAAACCTATCGAAGACGAGATTAACAAACAATGTGATGATTTGCATGCATTAGGAATCATCGAACCTAGTGTATCTCCTTGGGCTTTTCCCATTGTCCCAATCCGAAAACCCGATCAGACAATAAGAATGTGCGTTGACTATCGCAAACTCAATAAGGTAATTAAAGCTGACAAACATCCGATCCCAAATTTAACCGATTCCTTGTATAGCTTACGCGGTGCCAAATATTTTACATGTCTTGACCTGATCAAGGGATATTATCAAGTACCCTTACACGAATCTAGCAAAGAGATCACGGCATTTACCACTAATAAAACTCAATGGCAATTCAAACGGCTACCTTTCGGGCTAAAAACCGCTCCTTCGGCTTTTCAACGCACTCTACAGAATATTTTGTATCAAGAGGTTTCTAGCGATAAGGTTAAAATTTACATTGATGACATTCTCATAGTAGAATCTGATTTTGAGTCGCACGTGTTGTTAGTGCATAAGGTTTTGTCTGTGCTTAGAGATAACGGTATTAAGGTAAAACCATCGAAATGTACTTGGGTAGCGCGTGAGGTAGAATTTCTAGGTCATATTGTGAGTGAATCAGGTATTAGGAAGACCCCTAAATTCGTAGAAGCAGTCTTAAACTATCCCAGACCACAAACAGTCCGAGACTTGCAGAAATTTTTAGGCTTGATAAATTTTCAAAGAAAGTTTGTACCATTCTGTTCAGACCTCATGCAACCTCTGTCTAAATTTACTGGCAAACGCGGTTCTGTTAAACTCAAATGGTCAGACCAAATGCTTGAGTCTTTCGAGACTTTGAAGAAGCTCGTTGCCGAGGAAAGCTCACTAGCATATCCTGACTATTCGCCAAATGCCGAGAAACTAGAGCTCTGGGTGGATGCTTCGGCAACAGGAGCTGGTGCTTGCTTGGTGCAAAAGCAGGAGGGCGTTTCAAAAGTCATTGTTTATGCCTCTACTACGTTTCTTAAAAATCAAAAGAATTATTCGACCATCGAAAGAGAACTAGCTGCATTGCGCTGGGCAGTGAAAAACTTGCGACCATTCTTGTACGGCATTGATTTCATTGTACACACTGATCACCAAGCTCTTGTGTATTTGCACAATATGACGCTGGTTAGCAGCAGGCTAGCTCGTACTGTTGAGAATTTAGCCGAGTTCAGTTTTGAAATTCAGTTCACCCCTGGTAGGTTTAATGTTGCTGCAGACAGACTATCGCGATGGACCTCTGCTCCTGAGGTCGAGACAGAGTGTGATAATGACCAACCGTTGCCTGCTGGATTGATTTTGGACGGCCTGCCCGCTTCAGAGGGTGGCGACTCTCTATTCATTAGCCTTCAAAGGGTATTGTGCAGGAGTTGTAAAGTAAAAAGCTGTCCTAAGTCTCATGTTGAACTCCGTCAGATGCTAATAGATGATATTCTTTCCGATCTCAAAGGTTATAATCTGTCTGCCAACTCAGTGACAAGACGAGCGTTGAAATTAATGAAAATTCCAGGTAATTTGCCGTGTTTGGAAGTTTTGTATGCTGCCAGCAAATTGTTTAATGTGAGAATCGACGTGTATTACGGTGGTAAATCTCCTGTAATGTATAAACATGACTCGTGTGATGACGAAGAAGTTGTTTCTTTGCAATGTCTGGCAGGTATCCACTATAATCCGTTGATAGAATTGAAAGATTTTTCGCCTCCTAAATTAGAACTCATTGAGGACACCGTTTCGGGTGCGCTAATGACGGAGCCTGTCGAGGACGAGGAGTATAATCTTGACTGTCTGTTTTGCCAGGTGGAAGAATGTAACGTGCAAGCGACTAATGATCTTCCACAGGTTAACATTTGCGTCCAGGGTGTGTCATGTTGTGCCCTTGTTGATACGGGAGCTCAAGTGAGCCTAATTACGGAAGGTTTCATGCAAACCCTTAGTCGAGGCACCGAGAAGATCTTGAGTGATCATTCTCTTGAGCTAGTAGGATTGACGGGTGCTAAACACGTCGTTTCTGTTGTAACCGAACTACAGATAGGACTTTGCGAGTCAGTCATTATACACAATTTTTGTATTGTCCCTAGTGAAATTTTGCCTTGTTCTGTTTTACTAGGATTAGATTTTCTTGCTTTGCATAAAATTTCATTAAATTTTGTAACCATGACTTGTAGAAGTAGCAATGGTGTAACTCAGCCCATTTTGGGCCGACGCTCGTTGAACCCGCTGATTTCTGTTAATGCAACTGTTGCGCTTTCCCGCAACGATGACGTGCCGCCAGTTATATCCGTCAATAATACCTCTTTTGGGAATTCTTTTAAATCTCTGGGTGGTAGAGACGAATTGCGGGAAATTCAAAAGCGAGACCCAATTCTGCGCAAGTTGTGCAATGTTGTTAAACATAATGTATCTCGTGAATTGTGGCCCGATTCCTGTAAGCCTTTTAAGCGATTTGCGGAATTTATAAGATTTGAGAATGATTTGTTGTTGTTCAAGAAGACCGTGACTGTGCCAATATTTCCTTTAGACTATTTTGTGAATTTAGTTGTAAAAGTTCATCGTAATATGGCTCATGTCGGCAGAGATAAAATGTTGAACTTGCTTAATTCAACGGCCTGGCACCCAGAAGTGTATCGGGTGGTTAATGATGTTTGCACGACTTGCCATCACTGTCAGATCTTCAAAGCCAGTGGGTCGGTGGTTGTTCCGCCAACCTGGAAGATCGTCACCAGTCGCCCTTTCGAGATGGTCGCTGTAGATCTCGTCTCATTTCCAACGAGTACTAGTAGACATGTAGCAGCGCTGGTCTTGGTGGACCTACACAGTAAGTGGCTGTACGCAGTTGCGTTGAAGGATAAAACTAGTCATGCAGTAGTTAATGCTTTAAACCGATTTATTCTGCCTACTCTACTAGTCTTACCGTCCCGTCTCCTTAGCGATAATGGACCAGAGTTCAGATCTGCCTTGTTTGAAGAAACTCTCGAGTCCTGGGGAATTAAACACGTCTTGACTACTCCCTCATAAAGCCTCCAGCAATGGAGGGGCGGAGAGAGCCATAAAGACGCTTTCAGGTCTTCTGTGTGGTCTGTGTTCGCAGGGAGGGAACTGGGATGTAAAATTACCACAAGCTGTTTCGGTTTATAATCGTACTGTTCACAGAGAAATTAGTGCTTCTCCTTCACGATATTTGTTGCAAATGTCTCATGATATGACACAACCCGTGAGCGTCCCAGATACGTGGAAGCTTGGTCATCCTGCATTTAAACCGTTTAATCCCGGTACGCTGGTCCTGAAGCGAATATTCACGTCAGGAAGGTTGAACGTTGATAAATTCAGTCCTGTGTAATGTGATTATGCTTGCATCACAAAGGGGAACTTGAAAAAACATTTTCTTCGCAAGCATTCAACAGGAAAACCAATTCAGTGTTCTGAGTGTGATTATGCTTGTATTACAAGAGGAGACTTGAAAAGACATTTTCTTCGCAAACATTCAACAGAAAAACCCATTCGGTGTTCTGCGTGTGATTATGCTTGCACCACAAAATATGAGTTGAAAAGTCATTTCCTTTTCAGGCATTCAAACAAATAGTCTCTTCAATGCTCTGAGTGTGATTACGCTTGCACCACAAATATGAGCGCGAAAAGACATTTTCTGTACAGACATTCAACTGAAAAACCTTTTCAATCTTATGAAATTGATCATGCTACGGTATTGCACCTGTGTTGCAAGTAAGAGGGACTTGAAATGTCATTTCCTTTTCAAACATGCAACAAATAAGCCTATTTAGTTTGTGAGTATGATCATGTGAAGTTCATGAGTATGATTATGTGTTACACAAAAGGGAACTAAAAAACCTTTTTTTTCTGGAATCATTCAATAGTGAAAGTCCCTTTGAAGCTTTATGTGTTGATACTTGAGTCCAAAAAATTTATTTGAACAGCATCAGTACCCATTGCTCCATCTAGCAAATGACACAAGTGAGAAGATGCATGAAGACAAAAGAATCAAGTGCAGAGCATTTAATCTTTTGATACAACAGGACCAAGCTATGTGGAGTATCTAATCTAGGGCACCCACTGCCACGAAGAAAGTGAAGCTCAGCTGTTCTTTGTCCCTCGAAGTTGGCAGTTGCTGTGGATGGTGTGGACATGAAATAGAACAATGCTTGCCTCACAATGGGCTAGCCCCAACAAACAGCTCCAGCTTGTTGGGGCTTGAATGCTACTTCATTGGAATATCAGCAACCAATTTTTTCTTAGCTGCCTTCATAATGCTGCGAGAAGTTGTTGGTGTTGTGCGAGTGACAGTCATGCTTGTGGTGGTAACAGTGTTGCAGTTGCCCCTGGTTTGCTGACTCATGGTTACTAACTTTAGTGACAGTTTTTTTGACAGCAGAAATACTCTTGTATTGTTGTACAATAGTTTGACTTACCAATAGCTTAGAAAGTTTACAAAACTCGCTATGGTTTAGGCTTATTGAATTCCATATTTCTCATTTGTGTCAATATTTGTTTTTGTTGGTAGATTCCTTGGAATAATATTAATTGATGCTAAACTAGCCTGAATAAAATGATGTCGTCAGTTTTAAAATAAGTGATACTATTTCAATATGTTGTTTTTTCTTTTAAAAGTTTTGCTCATAATCTGGATCAATTTATGCTGTATTTTTGCTGTTTTAGTACTACTTCTTTTCTTGCCTTTCTTGCAGTCGAGACAAAATTTATTCCAAGCCTACATTGGTTGTTATTCCGCCCCTCAAACTGGGCGGTACAATCGTCTCAACCACCAGGTGGCCGAGGACAAGGTTGTGTAACCGGTTTAACCAAGTGTCAGGCCGCATTTACTGTCAGGCCGCATTTATTCCCAGATTTACTGACTGAGTTACTAACTTTTGTAGTTGTGTTAATCAATTAATTGTTTTCTTTTTTTTTTCTGGGGGGTAACTGTTTTACAGTTATCCCAAGGTTTTCTGACTGACGTTCACCAACTTCACTCACGATTTGCTGAATTTGCTGAATGCTGAATACATTCTTTTATTGCTATGTTATAGATTTACTTTAGCAGTAATTCAGTAATGGCGTAAATTTCGCAAGGCTTTGGTTCATTGAATTTCATATCTTTCGTTGGTTTCACCTTTTGCTTTGCATTCTTTCTGGTAGATTTCAATGAATAAGATTAGTTAATGCTGTACTAGCCCCGTCGTAATGATGTAAGATTTAATATAAGTGATTTATACATATGTTCTTTCTTTATTCTTTATACATATGTTGCTTACTTATTTCCAGGAAAAATTTTGTTTAGTTGGTATCAATTTATTCTGCATTCTACATTCTACTGATTCCTTTATATAACTATCATACAGTTGAAATAAAACATAACATGTTCCTATGGCGGACGTTATATTAACCCCTCGAACTATTGTTCTCAACCACCAGATTACCAGGAACTAGATTGTGTTCAACCCCTTTAAGCGAGCGGTTGTCCTCCTGCTGCGCTCATGACCGACACATTTGTCGTCCTCTTTATGTCCGCTTTTAACAAAGCGCTCTGCTAATACAGTGTCCTTGTTTCTTGATCGTATTTGGCCGGTAAAATTTGTCATTTGTAGCAGCTTATCCTGGAGTTGCCTGGTATAAACATGCTCTAGTGTTCGAGAATCTGGCTGACGACAGCGAGGTGTTGCAGGCCAGAAGTCCCGACGAGAGTGGCAGGACGGCGAGGTGTTGCAGGCCAGAAGTCCCGACGAGAGTGGCAGGACAGCGAGGACGACGAGAGTTGCAGGACAGCGAGGTGTTGCAGGCCAGAAGTCCCGACGAGAGTTGCAGGACAGCGAGGTGTTGCAGGGCAGAAGTCCCGACGAGGAGTAAATGTTTTCTATTTCTGATAAATATCGCGTGATGAATATGGTTGACTTGACTTCATTGCGTATAAAAAATGGTAAAGAATTATCGTCACAGTTACTATGAGTGGTCGACCGGTTGGAGAAATAGGGATGCAATCTTATTCCTAATACTTTTCAATGTTTAATACTGAACACGGATGCCATTCCAGTGAACGTGTGAGCTATTTAGATGTCGAATGAAATGCATGACGTCATCACTCCTTAGGAATGAATTGCAGGATGGAAGTTGCCGCTTGACAGGTGACGGAGAGTTGCCGCATGACAGGTGACGGAGAGTTGTTGCTTGACAGATGACGGAGAGTTGCCGCTTGTCAGGTGACAGAGAGTTTCCGCTTGACAGGTGACGGAGAGACAGGAGGGCGGGTGTTGCAGGCACCGATAAAATTGACTTGCTTCGGCCAAAACATTTCGACCCATTAATATTATGTAGATATAAATAGTCTTTAGACTACGAGAGTAAAAAATTCAGAGTTTTGATCTTAAGTGTATACGTTGTGACTTAGAATTGCCCAAAGTTTCATGATTAATAACTTTATTTCGAACACAAAATTTTTTGGTCGCTGTCAGGGTAGGCCCTCAAGACCGTTGCAGGAAGGAAGGACAAGGCGAACAAGTTTTAATACTTTACTAAGAAAATGAATAAATGCCTTAAGAACTGAAAGTTGCGGGTACACAATGGCACTGTGCGTGCTTACTCCTTACGTTACTTTACACTAAATCTAAACTGGAAACAGATACGGAATTAACGGAAGAAGTCTAAGCTTCGTGTCGGCTCCTCCTTAGTTCAACCACGGACAGATCGCACACGCAGCGCCCAACTCAACTTGAGGTTTGCCAGCTCAACAGAGCGGACGGACGCTGACGCGACGAAGCTGGCCCGCGTAGAACTAGCTGGGTCTAGCAGCTTTGAAAGAAAACAACAAGGGCGCCGAAGGTAACGTGGTCATCGCCACCGAGCAGGCCCACCGGCGTACCTTAAACAAAAGGGACGTAGTCAGCATCAGGCTACAGGTGCTGCCGCGCTAGGGAGTTAAAGCTAGCAGACTGTTGGGGCACTGACAAAATATAGACTAATATGAAAGCATGACTGACTAGCGAAACGACTAGTTGACAACCGGAACGTTTGGTCAGACCTTGAGGCTCACAACTTATATCTAATTCACATCCATAATTAAACCCCACCTAAACCAATTAAACACAAGTGACAATTTCCATATAGTAAGACTAAGACAACAATTACAAAAATACAAGCATTAATTCACATGACGCAGCTTACCGGTACAAACCGCAGTACAGCAAAGCAATGCTGACTGGAAACGAAGAGCGTACAAGATGCGCGCGTCTTCCTGGCTCGACAAGCAGTGAACTAAGCTACTAATAGATACAAACCTCATAATCCATTGGGTATAGTGACTCAAAAATTTGCCATCAGGGAAATAGTGTATTTATATTTTCACTCCTTATTTACTTGTATCGTGATAACGAAAAGTCAACCTAGCTATACGCCGACCAGCAGCCATGAATTTGTCAACTCACTCACCATTCACGAAGCAGAAGATTAGATTTCAAATTTAGTTATTCGATGCCCATCAAGGAAATTGTACCACTTCGCGGCTGAGCCTTGTTCGATGAAGTTATTTCCAATAGCTCACTTGTAGAAAAAAACAGACATATAGAGAATGTTCAAAGACGTGCAACAAGGATAATTCCTGGCTTGAAGGGCAAGTCCTATGAAGAAAGATTGTAGGTATTAATGTCACTTATTTGCTTAACTCGCAAGTTGACTAAAAATTTGAAAGCAAAGAAAAGTCCACAAAAATTCATATCTATATAGAAAACGTTTCGGAGTCCAGCTCCATCGTCAGTTCGTAGAATCTAGAACATACATAGAAAGTCACAAGTTAATACAATTGAAAGCACAGAACACAATTAGAACCTAAATTTACAAGTAATAGGGCATAAAAACCTATCTATTCACAATTTCAAGGGGATAGGAGCTCACAGCTGAATTTAAACTGGGCCTAAGCTTAAAAATGTACAATGATTCTAAGATACGCAAATCTGAAGTACCGGAGGTAGAAGCTAACACCCTAAGAAGATTGTAGGTTATGAAGCTTCCAAGCCTCAGTTATTGACGTCTGCGTGGGGACCTCATTGAAGTATACAAGTATACTCATGTTTATACAAGGTCCCCGAAGGATTACTAGAATTTGAAACAAGAACCAACACCATTGGCCACGGCTATAAACTGAAAAACTGCGCTGCAACTTCTCCACGCGACAAAATTTCTTCTCGCTTCGAATCACCGACATATGGAACAGCCTCCCCGATGACATCGTTGGCGCTACTGCAAACCTATCTCCTCCTAGAGTTTTTAAGCTACAACAATGAGACATATACCATTCGATGCGCAACAAAATTATCTAGAACGTAACGCGGGCA